ATCTCTATACACTATATATTTCGTATTTATTGCTATTATATATATATATATATATATATATATATATATAATATTTAGTATAAATGAAGGTTTATGTTAGATTTCCAAATAATTTATTTTAAAGAATTTTGGGTCACACTTTAGTTTGGGGACCAGTTCTCACTATTAACTATGATTTTCGCCTCAAGTCCTGAGGTATGGAGTATGATTAAGGAATCTAAAATATGCTCATTCAGAATAAGGCATTAATATGTGCTGTTTAAGTACTAATAATAAGCAGCCAATATGCTAGTAATATGCATGCTAATAAGCAACTTGTTAATAGTGGGAATTGGATGGTAAAATGAAACCAAATTTCTATTTAATGAGGAATATTTAGATTTACCCAAATATTTTACATTTAATGATAAGATTTATATTTAACCAGAAAATCTTGATTTAACACAATAAATTCAATAAATATTATTAATATAAATAAAGATTTATGCTTAAACAGTAAATGTAGATTTTCAAAGAATTTATTTTAAATAATTTAAACTAAAAGATTTAAATTTAACCAGAACATTTTGATTTAACTAGAAGTTATGTAAATCTTATAACATTTAATATAAATGAAGATTTAAACTGTGAATTAACATATATAAATTAATTTATATTTAAAGAATTGATTTGAAATATAACATTTAAGCTTGGAGTCTGAAGCATTAAATTTGAGTTTGATCAGTTGTACACTACACTTGTATATTAAGTGTATTATATGTCATTAATTTAGCAAAGTCCACTGCTTGTCTGTGTGTGTTGTTCAGTGGTACTGTGGCTCATAAAATCATGCAGAAGTATGGATTCCGAGATGGGCAGGGCCTGGGAAAACACGAGCAGGGGTTGAGCACGGCGCTCTCAGTGGAGAAAACCAGCAAGCGTGGGGGCAAGATTATTATTGGAGACTCAACGGAAAAGAGTGAGATCATACACACACGCACGCACTCGCAAGCACACAGCAAATATGTGCAAACCCACACATCACAGGTCCAAAATAAACATCCTCTTGATTTTTTTGAGTATCACGTTTGTTTTCAACCCCATGTTTTGTCATTTGCACAACCATGTTGCACAACCCATTTGAATGTATGTATGTTTCAGCATCAGGATCCAGTCAGAATGTGGCTGATCCACAAGGCTCTAATTCAGGTTTGACTTTATTTTATTTCCTGTTTCCCATATCATTTACTTATAATATATTTTTTTTCCATCTTGATCACCCACATGTGCCCTATTAGTCATTAGAAACCAGAAACTACACACATGTGTGCCCATCATGTCTGTTATGCAAAAAGTGGCAACCGTAACTAATTACTGTAAATAAAGACGTTATTATGAGATGTCCATTCAGGGTGCGCTATATGGTTAAAATTAGGGCTGCAAAATGATTAATTGCGATTAATCGCATTCAAAATAAAAGTTTATGTTTACATACTATATGTGTGTGTACTGTGTATATTTATTATGTACAGTGGGGTCTGAATACTTTCCTTACCCACTGTATGTTTGGTGTATGATGGTTTATGCGAAATGTGTTAGACTGGGTCAGTGATGGTGCGATGTTCTGGTTTGGTGAGAAAGACGCACTTACGCAAGACGAAGGTGCTGGGGAATAAAGAAAGAATAGACTGAACTCCATGAGGATTCATTTAAACAGAACAGATCCTCATCAAATGACTTTATATGAACAGAGCATCTGAAATCTGGCAGAAAGCGGTTGAGCTGTTCAGGTCAAAAGTTCAGCGCTGGGTATTGTGCTGGTACACTGTGTAAAAGTGTTTTTTTTTTTTGTGCTATGGACATAACGGATACCATTAATCGTGCAGCTTTTTGAAGCAAGATATACTATTTATACTGGCACATAATAAAATGTTCAAGAATCCAAGTATAGCTTACAAAAATTGTGCCATTTTACAATGTTTTTAATATGAAAATATCCGATTTATATGAAAAAGTAAGAAGCTTCACCACTGAACCTACCCCTCAGCAGGGTGAGAGCCGATTGTTTGAAATCCTACAAATGAGTTTGTATGAATTAGCAACAAAATAGTTATGAATTGTCATTGAATTGTGTTGGAAAAATCCTGTAGACTTGAATTGTATAGTAAAATGTAGAGCAGTGGTTCTCAATCAGGGCCCACTACGGGGCCTCAGCATAATTCTGCAAACAGAAAACCTTAAGATGATTTAAAATAACACAAATCAAGCATTAAAATAAGCTCAAACAACAACAACTTTTTTTTTTTAATTTGCCTTTTTTATTATTTTTTCTTTGAAGAACCAGGGTTTACACAATCTTGGAAAAACTAGATACAGTGGGGAAAATATATATTTGATCCCCTGCTGATTTTGCAAGTTTGCCCACAAAGAAATGAAGGGTCTGTAATTTTTATGGTAGGTTTATTTTAAAGTATAGAGACCAAAAATACCACTACAAATGAGTTTGTATGAATTAGCAACAAAATAGTTATGAATTGTCATTGAATTGTGTTGGAAAAATCCTGTAGACTTGAATTGTATAGTAAAATGTAGAGCAGTGGTTCTCAATCAGGGCCCACTACGGGGCCTCAGCATAATTCTACAAACAGAAAACCTTAAGATGATTTAAAATAACACAAATCAAGCATTAAAATAAGCTCAAACAACAACAACTTTTTTTTTTTTTAATTTGCCTTTTTTATTATTTTTTCTTTGAAGAACCAGGGTTTACACAATCTTGGAAAAACTAGATACAGTGGGGAAAATATATATTTGATCCCCTGCTGATTTTGCAAGTTTGCCCACAAAGAAATGAAGGGTCTGTAATTTTTATGGTAGGTTTATTTTAACGTATAGAGACCAAAAATACCAACCAAAAAAATCCAGAAAAAAACACATTATATAAAGGTTAGAAATTGGGGTAGCCCAATTTTAAGTTTAATTTGTAGACCTGGAAAAGTCCTGTAAATTAATTATATTTATTAAAAAAAAAAAGAAAAAAGGTAAACATCTATTTTTGTAATGAATATGATCTTTTTTAGTTAAGCCAAGGTCTAAAAATATTTTAAAAATACGTTTCCTTAAAGGGTTAGTTCACCGCAAAATGAAAATTATGCTGCGTTTCACTCACCCCCGAAGCATCTTAGGTGTATATGACTTTCTTCTTTCAGACGAATCCAGTCGGAGTTATATTAAAAATTGTCTTTGAACTGAAACAATGCAACACCCGCTGAGTGGCATTAAACAGCTTGAAAGATCAAAGACAATTTTTAATATAACTCCGACTGGATTCGTCTGAAAGAAGAAAGTCATATACACCTAGGATGCCTCGGGGGTGAGTAAAACGCAGCCTAATTTTCATTTTTGGGTGAACTAACCCTTTAAGTATAAATATATATATACAAACAAATATTTGTAAAAATATATACATATGTGTATTTATATATACATGATAAATATACACAGGACACACACATATATAGTATGTAAACAAACTTTTATTTTGAATGCGATTAATCGCAATTAATCGTTTTGCAGCCCTAGTTAAAATATTATCTTGATATTTTTCTGGCTTTTTACTATATTTCGTATATGTAGATTATGTATTTGCTTATCTTTTTTCATATAATTAGAACTGTCATTTTGACCAAACAGACATCAAATTCAATTGTTAAACTACGGTAAAAAATTTGGTTAAAATAATCTTGTTTCCCACAATGCTTTTCACTACATGAACACAAAGGAAGAATCACATTTAATCGTTCTCATTTGTATGCATCAGAATTACAATAAATAGTCATTAACAGTAATGTTTACCTGCATATACACTATTGTTCAACAGTTTGGGGCTGGTAAGATTTTATTTGTTTATTTATTATTATTAACAAACAACTATGAGAATCTGAGTCTTTGAATTGGTTAATTGAAAACCTTTTTTTTTTTTTAACAAATAACCATTTTGCTACACCTGTTTATTACTGTTCTCATCAGTAAAAAGTTGTTTTGTGCTGGTATATGAAGCGGTATGTTGTGATTTTACATAGAAATGTAAAAAACTGTCCGTTTTATAGCGGATGCCTCAAAGAAAAATGAGACCAACCCTCTTACAGAGATTCTCAAATGTCCTACAAAAGTGGTGTTGCTGCGGGTAAGCTGTGTGTTTTCTCTCTAAACTTTGCAAAAAGCTCTCGCAGCTACTTTTTAAGACAACATTCTAAATTAAATAGAACTTCATAAATGTCTGTTTTGGAAACGTAAGTGTGATTAGTTGCCAGTTGATGAGTTATGTGCACCCATTTAGGTTGAAACATTAGCACTAAAGCAGAATTCTGAGTGAAGTTCTCAATTTATTGTGCTTACTTTAAAAATAATAGTAAAAAAAGCATAGAAATGTATTACAGGGCTGTTTTTGGCCCCAGTCCCAGTTAATTTGTGCCCCTTTTGACAGGGTATTACATGAGAAGCAGCTGATAATTTAGTCTAAACCATTTGTTGAGATTCATCTGCACTGAAAAACTGTCTGTGTGTGTAGAACATGGTTGGAAGGGGAGAAGTGGACGAAGACCTGGAAGCTGAGACTAAAGAAGAGTGTGAGAAATATGGCAAAGTCATCAAGTGTGTCATCTTTGAGGTGAGCATTATGTTAAGCGTGTCTCGCATGCCGCTGAAAGCAGCAGATGTCAATATTTGTCGCTGACATGAAACCTGTGTCTGGCTTGTGTTTACAGATCGCCGGTGTTTCTGACGAGGATGCCGTCCGCATTTTCCTGGAGTTCGAACGAGTCGAATCGGCCATTAAAGGTGAGTGGTTTGAGGACAAACTTAAAGAGTGTGTGTGCAGGTGGTCTTTATTTCAAGTGTCCCAGATCTTACTTAAGAAAGCAGGTAAATGTGTGAAGGCCGTCCCATAGGTGTTCCATCACCTTGCTGGTTACATCACTTCCTCACCTCAAGGGATAGCAGAGCAAACCAGTTTTCACTCACTCACTTTTAAACACTGGCTGGATATGAACTCATCCTTCAAAGCATTTTTAACCTCAACAAGGGCAACATATTAGATTAATAACTTGATTTGTGTGTTCATGTTATGTTGCTTTGTGAAATCGATAAATTTTTTCCCTAATCATTATTCCTGAAGAAAAAAAAAACAAGACAAATGTACTTGAAATTGAATTGACATAATCATGCATCTGGAACAGTTCATAATAGGACTGAAAATTCGAATTATTTCCTTTGGGATAAAATAAAGTTAAACTCAGACACTTTTTATTAAATAACAACAGAGCTAAACTGCAGCATTTGGGAGAAGGGTTCGTATTTACAGATACAGTGGCCCACAAAGTATTTGAACACTTTAGCCACACTTTAAAATGTCTGAATGTCATAGTGCTAGATACAAATGTTAAATATGTATTTTTTAAAAGTTAACATAAGCACACATTAAAAAAAAAAGAAAAAAGAGATTAGCTGCAGCTAAAATTACACAATTTAAGTCTCCAAATATTTTAGGGGGTTAGGAAGATTAATTTTTTTTTTTTTACGTTTTTAAAACTAATCTGTTTTTCTCACCAAGGCTGCATTTAAAAAAATATATATTATTGTGAGATATAACGGTTTTCTATTTTAATATGGTTTAAAATGGAATTTATTCCTGTGTTTGACAATGCTGAATTTTCAGGATCAATACTCCAGTCTTCAGTGTCACATGATCCTTCAGAGATCATTCTAATATGCTGATTTCCTGCTCAAGAAACATTTCCTATTTTAACAATGTTGAAAACAAATGTGCTGCTTAATATTTTAGTGGAAACTACAGTTAGGTCCATATATATTTAGACACAGCCACAATTTGTGTTATTTTAGCTGCTGACCAAAACGTTACAGTTATATAATGAATATGGGCTTGAAGTGCACAGTCTGAGCTTTAATTTGAGGGTAAGGAAAGGTTAAGGATTTTCAGCTCTTTAATATGTACCTACCCCCTTTTTCAAGGGACCATAAGTAATTGGACAATTGACTCAAAAGCTGTTTCATGGACAGATGTGGGCTTTTCCTTTATTATTCCTACATCAATTGAGCAGGTAAAAGGTCTGGAGTTGATTCTAAGTGTGCCATTTGCATTTGGAAGCTGTTGCTGTGAACCCACATCATGTGGTCAAAGGATCTCTCCATACAAGTGAAACAGACAATTGTTAGGCTTCAAAAACAAAACAAATCCATCAGAGAAACAGCCGGAACATTAGGAGGGGCCAAATCAACAGTTTGGTACATTCTGAGAAAAAAAGAGCGCGAGCATGCATGGCTTCCAGTGGCACTGGGTTACTGGTGTTTAGTGATGACGTGACAGAGGACAGAAGCAGCCAGATGAATTCTGAAGTGTATAGGGATATACTCTCTGCCCAGATTCAGCCAAATGGAGCAAAGTTGACTGGGCGACGCTTCATAGTACAAATGAACGATGACCCAAAACATACAGCAAAAGCAACCCAGGAGTTTTTGAAGGTAAAATATGGAATATTTTCAGCAATGGCCAAGTCAACCTCTTGATCTCAACCTGATTGAGCATGCATTTCACTTGCTGAAGACAAAACTAAAGGCAGAAAGATCCATAAACAGACAACAACTTACGTCAGCTGCAGTAAAGGCCTGTCAAATCATCAGAAAGGAGGAAACCCAGTCTTTGGTGATGTCCGTGAGTTCCAGACTTAAAGGGATAGTTCACCCAAAAATGAAAATTTGATGTTTATCTGCTTACCCCCAGGGCATCCAAGATGTAGGTGACTTTGTTTCTTCAGTAGAACACATATGATGATTTTTAACTCCAACCGTTGCAGTCTATCAGTCGTATAATGCATGGCAATGGTAACAAAATCTATGAGAGTAAAAAAAACATGCACAGACAAATCCAAATTAAACCCTGCAGCTCGTGACGACACATTGATGTCCTAAGACACGAAACGATCGGTTTGTGCCAGAAACCGAACAGTATTTATATCATATTTTACCTCTAATACAGAGCGCGTACACACCTCACGCACCGGATGCCTGCGCGGGCCCAAAGACAGTTGGACATAGTGGTCTATTAGAGGTAAAAAATTATATAAATACTGTTCGGTTTCTGGCACAAACCGATCGTTTCGTGTCTTAGGACATCAATGTGTCGTCACGAGCCGCAGGGTTTAATTTGGATTTGTCTGTGCATGTTTTTTTTACTATCATTGATTTTGTTACCATTGCCATGCATTATACGACTGACGGACTGCAACGGTTGGAGTTAAAAATCATCATATGTGTTCTACTGAAGAAACAAAGTCACCTACATCTTGGATGCCCTGGGGGTAAGCAGATAAACATCACATTTTCATTTTTGGGTGAACTATCCCTTTAAGGCAGTCATTGCCTGCAATGGATTCTAAACAAAATATTAAAAATGAACATTTTATTTATGATTATATTTATTTGTCCAATTACATTTGAGCCCCTGAAAATGAGGGGACTGTGTAGAAAAATGGTTAATTCCTAAGCATTTTATGTTATATTTTTGTTCAACCCCTTGAATTAAAGCTTAAAGTCTGCACTTTAATTTCATCTCGTTTCATTTTAATTCTATTCTGGTGGCATACAGAGCCAAAATTATGAAAATTGTCAGTGTTCAAATATATATGGACCTAACTGTATATGTTTTTCAGAATTATTTGATGAATAGAAAGTTCAAAAGAACAGCATTTATTTGAAAACGAAATCGTCTGAAGCATTATAATTGTCTGATCATTTTAATGTGCCCTTGCTGAACAAGTACTGAAGTACTTGAAGTACTGCTTAAAAAAAGAGAAAGAAAATAAAACAGTATTTGATTGTTCAAATACAATCATAATTTTTGCAGTTCTGCAGCTAAAATTACACACTTTAAGTCTCCAAATTCTGTTTTTGGCCACTGTAAGTCATCCATCTGGAAACAAAGCAAGCCTGAAAAAATGAACACCTGCTTCACTTCTCAGGGTTGGGCTACAGCTCTAAGAATGCAACAAAGCAAACAAATACATTTCATAACAGTTAGGAAGGCTTTTGTTAGTGGTTTGTTTAAATGGGCTTTTTAGAGGAGCTGAGTGTTGCCATGCCATCAAGGGTATTTTTGATCATAGATCATTATTAAAATCCCACTTTAATATTTAAAAATGGCAACATCACTGGTGAGATCACGTAGGGAAAAACCAAACACTTTCTGTAGGGGATGTTTTTAATGATGCATCTTGAGACCTTGTGGGTTTTTTTTTTGTTTTTGTTTTTGTTTTTTTTTCATTCCTCTGCCCGGGTCTCATGTTTTTCAAAGCAAAAAAACGTGATCTGTGTGAATAGCCCTAAAATGATCAGAAATCATTCATATTTGGTGTTTAAGTAATATTTATTCATTGTCAATGTTAAAAACAATTGAGCTGATATTTATTATGAAGTGATACATTAGGGTTCTTTGAATAGAAGGTTCAAAAGAAAACCTTACAAAAATAGAAATCTTTGTAACATAATATATACATTGTAATATATTGTACCATTATATTATATTGTGTGTATGTGTATAAATACACACACACACACGTTTTCTTTTTTCTACTACTACAAATAAACAAGTCAAATTCATTAAAATCAATATTTTTAAATCATTTTCCTGTAACGAGAAATGTAACTGCAAAGACAGAATAGGAAATGAGGTTATATCCTGACAACCTCTATATTGAAACAAAGATCTGTATTTTACTTTGAGGCCGTGCCCTAGATGACTGTTTAATGCTTTAGGACAGTGCCATCAACTGGTCATAAGTTATAAATCAAGGTAAATGTATTTATAGCCTTTGAACTTCTTGTCCAAAAGTCACAAACCATAACTTGTGTCCAAACATTTCTGTTCCACTTTACAATGTGCATTTTGTGCTCCTAGTCTCATAATTGCAACTTCATTGGAAATTTCATTGGAGTTATTAATATCTCTTAAATTTTAAATATTATATTTTATATATTATTTTGTATACAATTTCATATATTAAATATATTTAATAACATTTAATATATTTTGTATGCGTGTCCTGAGCCAATGTAATAGTATATTTACAATTTAACTTGATCTATTAGTATTTTTAACTGTGCTGTTGTTTTTGTCCTCCTCAGCTGTGGTGGATCTGAATGGGCGGTACTTTGGAGGTCGCGTGGTGAAGGCCTGTTTTTATAACTTGGATAGGTTCCGTGTTTTAGACCTGGGAGATCAGGCGTGAGTGGGAGATCCAGAACTGCACAACCAGGAAAGAATAAACACCAGGAAGTCATTTGTCTTTCTGTAAATAGCACGAGTAATTTTATACACCCTTGTAAAACATTAGCTTGCGTGCCCCTTTCCACAATACGTTTTGTAATGAAGATTTCATTTGATCTTTTGCGAATTGCTTCTAGTCTCTCTCTCACGTCAAAGTTAAAAATATCCTTTTGTCCTTGTGATTAAGATGTGATGAAGAACCCAGCAATAAAAATGCGTTTGGGAGAGTAACTTTTAGGGTTGTTCTGTTTTAAAGGTAAAACGTGTTAACACTTTTTGATATCTCAGTTTAACGTGCAGAGAGTTAAGTAAGCCATTTTTGGTTTTACTTTCTGATAATTGAGCACTGTGGTGCTTTCAAAACATGGCTTAACCAATGGCGTGAGGGACTATTTGTTTAGCTCAACTAGAAAAATTAGAAAAGGGTTGTTAGTATTGAAAACTCATTTTCTCCAGTAGTTACTACATGGTTCTAAGAAACCATTACAAGCTCATGTTGAATGGGGTGATGATGATGGTAATGAATGAGTCCTGGTTCATGGTTTATATAATCAGACATACAAGTCCCTGTGCGACTCTAGAAAGTAGGAAACCTACATTCTTCTGTTGTGACATAACAGCGACTCCCATGAGCCCTCACTCTCTGATCCACACACTATTGATAGACTTAAAGAATGATACTTTTTCGTAATGTGTGTCTTGACCTGAGCAGAAATTGGGTTTGGCGTGTTACTCAATAAAAGGTGATTTCATAACATGTATTTTTTTTTTACATATCTGTAGGATATCTTATTTGCATATGAATGCATCACCTAAATAATAGTTTGTGTGTTTTACCAGATGTATGTTAGGTGTATGATGGTTTATGCGAAATGTGTTAGACTGGGTCAGTGATGGTGCGATGTTCTGGTTTGGTGAGAAAGACGCACTTACGCAAGACGAAGGTGCTGGGGAATAAAGAAAGAATAGACTGAACTCCATGAGGATTCATTTAAACAGAACAGATCCTCATCAAATGACTTTATATGAACAGAGCATCTGAAATCTGGCAGAAAGCGGTTGAGCTGTTCAGGTCAAAAGTTCAGCGCTGGGTATTGTGCTGGTACACTGTGTAAAAGTGTTTTTTTTTTGTGCTATGGACATAAAGGATACCATTAATCGTGCAGCTTTTTGAAGCAAGATATACTATTTATACTGGCACATAATAAAATGTTCAAGAATCCAAGTAGAGCTTACAAAAATTGTGCCATTTTACAATGTTTTTAATATGAAAATATCAGATTTATATGAAAAAGTAAGAAGCTTCACCACTGAACCTACCCCTCAGCAGGGTGAGAGCAGATTGTTTGAAATCCTACAAATGAGTTTGTATGAATTAGCAACAAAATAGTTATGAATTGTCATTGAATTGTGTTGGAAAAATCCTGTAGACTTGAATTGTATAGTAAAATGTAGAGCAGTGGTTCTCAATCAGGGCCCACTACGGGGCCTCAGCATAATTCTGCAAACAGAAAACCTTAAGATGATTTAAAATAACACAAATCAAGCATTAAAATAAGCTCAAACAACAACAACTTTTTTTTTTTAATTTGCCTTTTTTATTATTTTTTCTTTGAAGAACCAGGGTTTACACAATCTTGGAAAAACTAGATACAGTGGGGAAAATATATATTTGATCCCCTGCTGATTTTGCAAGTTTGCCCACAAAGAAATGAAGGGTCTGTAATTTTTATGGTAGGTTTATTTTAACGTATAGAGACCAAAAATACCAACCAAAAAAATCCAGAAAAAAACACATTATATAAAGGTTAGAAATTGATTTGCATTTCAGTGAGTGAAATAAGTATTTGATCCCCTACCAACCAGCAAGAATTCTGGCTCCATCAGCAGGGGATCAAATAAATATTTTCCCCACTGTATATGAGGTAGCCCAATTTTAAAAGTTTAATTTGTAGACCTGGAAAAGTCCTGTAAATTAATTATATTTATAAAAAAAAAAAAAAAGGTAAACATCTATTTTTGTAATGAATATGATCTTTTTTAGTTAAGCCAAGGTCTAAAAATATTTTTAAAATACGTTTCCTTAACCCTTAAAGGGTTAGTTCACCCCAAAATGAAAATTCTGTCATTAATTATTCACCCTCATGTCGTTCC